CCACTCACTACAGGTGAGTTCATACCCCTTAATTAACCTTTTAAATGTTTTTAAATGCTTTTATGGGGGGGGGGGGGAATACAAGTTGAACTATTATAGTTATTATATCAATCACATGTGATTAATAACCACCAAACAAGTGGATTTCTTACTTTTCAAACTGTGTTACCAAACTGTTTTACTTCAAACTGTCTTACAAACTCTTTTACATACCAAATGCTTTTATCAAACTCTTTTACATGTTAAATACTTTTACTTAAACTCTTTTAACTTATATTCTGTGTATCTATATGGATATAATTATATAAGTAGGATTGAAAGGACTTAGGACTGATAGCTCACCTTACTTCCTGTTCCTTGTTTGGTTGTGGACTTAGGGTATTAGGGTTATTTGTCCGAAGGTCGTTTGAATCCTAGTTATATATCATGTATATGTGCATAGATATAAAAGGTTACTTCTTTCATTCAGTTCAATGCCTTTGGGTAGCAAAGGTATACAAACATGTTCATATACACAAACAACATTACTAGTAAACTATAATAGGTATAGTTTAGGAAGATACTATTACTAGAACAATGAAACATACAATGAGTCAGTTCATTCATGAGTAATACATAGTGATGAGAAACAAACATAATACATAGTGATGAGAAACAAACATAATACATAGTGATGAGAAACAAACATAATACACAGTGATGAGAAACAAAACATACATGCTAGACAGAGAAAGAACACACAATACAGCTAGCACATACATATACATATACATATACATTACTTACAGTTATGTGAGCCACTTAACGGGGGCATGACACTACCTGTCATGACCCGTTTTGTATCCAGAATCTCCTTAAGTGGAGAGCGTATGAGTTTGTGTATAGATCTATACTGGATTGACTATCCTACACCTTGCTGCTCGCTACAGTGGGACTTGCAAGTCTACGGGTGCCAAACGTCATTTCTTACGACGTCTTACATCGTCATTTTTCTATAGAGTCGGTAGCAGGATACATGCCGATCACATGGTACTTTAAAATAACAATTGGTTTAAAGTAATTAGTACAGCAGTAGTTACTTAATACAACACTACAATACTATTTCATTTTCCCTTTACATTTACTTTATGATATTCATACAATAAACAATAATGTAAAAACTATATTTTTGGTTAATGATAGTCAGATTTGGGAAAATACACACTCTTACAAGAGACACACATACATATACTAGATGCCTTGGTAGAAGGCTACTTTTAGTAGGAAACATAGGGTTTTCTAGGAGAGTTCAAACAATTACAAACTTTTACAAAACTTATACATTACAGACTTACAAACACTTTCATAACAAATACAGACATTAATATACATATGAACTCACCAGCTTTAAAGCTGATAAACTCTTTCAAAATAACTTGTATTCTCAGGTCGCCAGTAGACAGGTACCGGAGCCAGGTTTTTGAGAAGATGGAGCTCGTTCAAGACTCATCTTTTATTTTGATGTATATTTTTGGTGTCTATATAACTTGACAGAACACACTTGTATGAAATTATATTATTAATGCAATGGATGATGTTGTTGCTTGTTTACTACTTTGCATTGTTGTGATACTGTACATGACGTCCTCCACCCCCGAACGTTTCCGCCGTTCCGGTTTTGGGGTGTGACACACTTGGACTTAATGGATTAAGTTAAGAAAGATGCATTTTGGGTCCCTTTGAGACTTAAAGTCCACATCTTAGTGGTTTGGACCTTCCTAATGGATAAAGTCAGAAACTTTACCCATTAAGACCTTGGAAAGGGTCAGATCTAAGCTTTGGAGCTCTTGTAAATCGGAAGAAAATGGATTAAGCTCGTTTGATATGTTCAAACCGGTCCCCACAACGTGGCCTTAGGTTGCCACGGCGTGGCGACTGGGGAATCATCGACTATTTTGGCATTTAGTGCCCACGATGTAGCCAAGGTCGGCCACGACGTGCAGAGCTGTTGTTGGCAATTTTGACCTTAGTTTTGACCGTTGAATTTTTGGAAAGTTTGACTTGTGGTCAAACTTGGGTATAATTGAATATTTGGCTAAGGATTGGTCTCGACTTGGTTTTAGGAAGCTTGGGTTGGTTATGTTGTTGCTGAGGTAGCTGTTGAGCTTCTATTGATTTGTTCAGGTGAGTTTTCTGTTCGAAAGTGTGTCCAAGGTCATTCTTGACTTTATTTTTCGCCACTTTTTTCTCCCTCCTTGTGGAGGAACTCTCCTTATAGCTCATCCCCTCCTAGTTATTTTTTATTCTACTCTTTTGGGTTCATTGGGTGTGAACTAAGAGAGGGATTCTGATTTGGGTCCTCATCATCCAAACAAGGTGGCATGTACGAGGAGTCAAGCATGAAGATCTTTGGTTGCAAAAGAGGTATGTGTTCTTCCTTTGTGTTTTCGGTTTTTTCTAGTGTAGATGTAATATTATGAAACCATAGATCCATAGGTTGCATGTACACTTATGTATATCGCGTTTTGATTTTTCCGATACCTATTTTAGAGTGTATTTGATGCTTAGAAAACCTAACATTTTCCTCACTGTACTCGTGGGGTAAAGGCACCAATGCCGACCCACTAGGTTGTGTTATGTATCCTGGTATATAGGATGTTGTTATGATATAGTGAACTGTTAGATTGGTAGATCTGTATAATTACCTGTTTGTTGGTTATATGTTTATATGTTGCATATGTTGACATAGTGCAGTTTGGGTTGAGGATTTAATGTTATGTGCGTTAACCAACAGATTAGGGTATTCCAGTCCGATGACTGTGGGCTAGGGGTAATGTAGTCTGATGACTGTGGAACCGAGGGTAATCCAGTCTGATGACTGTGGACCCAGTGTGCACGACAATCCAGTTTGATGACTGTACGCCTCGGGTAATCGAGTTTGATGACTGTAGACCCAACATACAAGTTTGTATATGTTCTGTTGTGTGGGGTATTTTGGGGGAACTCACTAAGCTTTGTGCTTATAGTTTCATTTCATGGTTTCAGGTACATCAGATCATCGGGGCAAGACAAATGAGTGATTGTGCACATCATCCTTGGATATTTCGTTGATTGATGATTTTAGGATACTCTGATTTTGACCATGTTCTTGAAAACAATGTTTTTGTATGGTTTATGGATTATTAAAGGGTTTTAAAAATGAAAATTTTTACTATGGTTTTTTCGGATGTTACAAAAAATCCTTCAACAAAACAACCCATTCTTAAGAGTATTTCAAATGCATGATGAATACCAACAAAGTCGAGAAAAGACATTCTCATTCATCTCTTCCACCCTCTTCTTTTTCATACCTGCTATACATCTCCTCTATTTTGGCGACACCTTTATCTTCGACAACCACTTGTATTGTCGTATTTCCGATGACTGCCTCCACCAACAGACACCACAATGAAAAACTCAACGCCTTTCCTTTTCGGCTAACTCGCTTTCTCCTCCCACCACGACCTCTAAACTTTTGCATATTTCAGCTACATCTTTATCTTCGAATGCATCATCCACGACCACTCTCTTTCTTTGCCACCACTACTAAAATTCTTCCGCATTTCCTTCTTCCCCCGTAACCATTAAAGCTTTGTTGCCTCTCCTTAGTATATGATGCTAGAGACAAAGAAGGTGAGATAACGGATTGTGTTTTCTTTTCTTTTATTCTCTTGGTTCACCCCACTTCACAAATCCGCTCATCACATTATTAATTGCTCATTTATGGACTACAGCCGTGTTGGTGACTTGTCGAAGACGAAGATGATTATGGTAGTTTCCGATTGTGTTAGAGCCGGTGGTTTACACAAGAGGACTTAAAGGTCGGGGTAGGGGGCTCTCTGTTTATTAATTAGAATAAACATAATAAAATGACAAAAAAAGTGGGCATTTTTTTTTGTCATTTCACACATACTTAAGTGAACATTTTAGTTGTAGCAACCACATGGAGGAGCCATGTCAAATATTAGAAAATTGAACTAAAAATAAAGATCGGTGTAAACCATAGGGACCAAAAATGTAATTTACTGAAAAATAATAAAATATAAAGAAATTTAGTAATCTAGGTTTTTCAAAGAAAATAACCATTTTTTTTAGTTTTTAAAAAATAACAAATGTCTCCGGAATGCTTCATTTCATAGTATTGTACTGTTCATATTTCAACGTTTTTTTTAATTATTATTATTATTATTATTATTATTATTATTATTATTATTCAAAGATTTTTTTTATTCTAAACGCTACATTTTGAGGTGTTTAATGTCAATGTTTATCAATCAAATGTATAATTCTATGCACTAATATCGTGTGTGTGTGTGTATATATATATATATATATATATATATATATATATATATATATATATATATATATATATATATATATATATATATATATATATATATATATATTTCACATTATTTGAGAGCTTCTAGCGTTTGACAAAACGCTCCGTTTTGAACAGAAAATCTTGTTTGACACTACAAGCTTCTAGCGTTTAGTTTAAACAAAACACTCCAAATCCAAATACTACTTAATGTAAAATTTAACAAAACGCTGCAAGCTACAGACTACCGACTGCCAGCTAATTTTACCAAAAACACCCTATGTTGTTTTGCTTTTTGATATATTTAAGTAAAAAAACAAATTTCTTTTTCGAAATCCTAGAGTTTATCGGATTTCGGACTAGTTTTTGAAATTCCTAAGTTTTTTTTTTTTTCGAAATCCAAGGAATTTAGTTTGAAATATATATTTCTATTAGAAAAAATGTTTTTTTTTCTTGGTTAGGAATATCTATTTCAGACCAAATGGTTATTTTTTGTAAAAAAATAAATTTTTTGATTATTTTATTCGAGTAGATATTAAAATGTGATTAAATTACTTAATTTTTTAAAATATATCATAATTTTTTTTTAAATTTAATAATTAATTATGTTTCAACTTAATTACACTCGTGGTTCAAATTGATTGCTTTTCGGAACAACCCCTAATACAGCAAGTCCGTGACCATTTCCGTGGCTCTAATCAAAATTACTTATTACAATCGCCTACGGCGCCGCTTTAAGCTTTCTTCATGGCGCCGGCGAAACCAAAGCCTACGGTCGTCGGAGAAATGACGATCATATGGGATTTTGATCGAACGATTATGGACGACGATAGTGATCGCTGGCTGGTGGTAGAAATGGGCTTGACCCAATTGTTTAATCAGCTTCGCCAAACATTGCCATGGAATTCTCTCATGGTTTGTATGATTTATCGTTTTCTTTTAACCTCTTAACTTAATTCATGAAACAATTTCAGTTCTCTAGTCGGATTTGGTAATTAAATAAGGGTGTTTCTAGCTGAAAACCTTTTGTAAATATGCTTTTGATGACGAATGTGAAGTTCTAATCTCATTGTAAAATCAACCGATTCACAATTTCCATACACGCCTAATTATCTCAAAGTAATTAAAATCGAGCTGCGTTTAGTTCTAATTTCAAATCGATTTTGCTTGGATTCCATTTTTATATATTCAAATTCAAATTTCATATCGAGTTTTCATTTATCCCGACAACCAGCTTTTTTACTGCAACCCATCTTCGATTCCTATTGTTTTGACCTAAATAATCAGAAAATCATTCAGTTTTTGCTCCCAAAACTGAAATCGCAATTATTTAAATACTGATATAATGACAAACTTTACTGTGTTATTGAATTCAGGATCGTATGATGGAGGAGCTACATTCTCAGGGAAAAACAATCGAAGACATCATAAACTGTTTAAATCGTGTCCCTTTAGATCCACATATCATTTCAGCCATTAAATCAGCTCATGCTCTTGGGTACTCACTACACTGATCAAATTCTCATCTTCTTGATTCATCATTTCGGATATTACAATGAACTGTGATTGTTTCAGATGTGATTTGAAGGTACTCAGTGATGCTAACAAGTTCTTCATAGAAACAATCTTGAAAAACCATGGAGTTTATGAATGCTTTTTCTGAGATCATTACAAACCCTACTTTTGTTGATAAAGAAGGCAGACTTCGAATCTTTCCATATCATGATTCAACTTTGCCTCCCCATGGCTGCAATCTTTGTCCTCCAAATTTGTGCAAGGTACCTAAATTACTCAATCAGCAACTATCAATCTTGTTTCCCTCTGATCTCAAACTTGTATTATTATTATTATTTTTTATCACACTGTAAACAGGGATTAGTTTTGAATCGAATACAAGATTCAATGTTGGAATCAAAGGGGGTGATAATCTACATTGGAGATGGTGGAGGTGATTTTTGTCCAACTTTGAAGCTTGGAGAAAAAGACCATGTGATGCCAAGAAAAAACTTCCCATTACATCATTTGATTTCCAAATCATCTGTACCTATTAAGCCAAAAGTTCATGAATGGAGTGATGGAGAAGAACTCAACAAGATTCTGCTTCACCTTATTAATCCAGTAGACTGAATGCACCAAAAAACTAAAATATTCTTTAAGTGATGAAACTTGGTATTTGTTGTGCAAGATTTGCACAAACTACAGTAGCATTTGTAGCTAAAAGTTTTTAGGAGATTTTGTGCATTGCTCATAAATAATCTAACTTGTTGCTTGGAGGTGTGTATTTTAATTCATGTATTGATAAAAGTTGGTAACTTTGAGCTATAATTTGTTGTTAACGAGTCAAACGGATTTTATTAAAAGAAGTTGACTTGTAAAAAGACAGCTGAATGCTTCTTTTAGTAAATGCAATAAATAGCAACATAGTTCAATTGTTTTGTTTATCATGGCATCTTACTTTATGTTCTTATTAAATCATTAAAATAAACAATATAAGGTAGAATGATAGAATACACAAATAAATGGAAGTTATGTTGTTATTTCTCACGTATAGCCGTATACAATATAAGTAGACATAATATATTGATGGAAATAGAATACGAAGTGTATGTACTTGGAGTACGAAATCCCATTTTCGAAGCTCTCATCCTTCTGCAACTCTTCTTTTTAAGTCTCTCCAAAAAATGCATGTCAAAGAAGGCTATGAATAGACATTCCAGAAGGAGGCGGGTCCATGCAATTATTAGGAATATATGATAGAAACTAAAGAACAACAAAGGTGAATTTGATGGATTCATAATTAATAACATTTTATAGTAAATAATTCTCACGTCTGCCCGTTGTTTAGCAAAATCCATTGGATGGGACAAACACATGGTTTCCAATTTTAGCCAAACACCAATGGACCCCTAAGATTTTTCATCAACTTCTAGAACCGAAACCCAATCCTGCAACATCTAAGCATGATCAAGAACATGAAAGATGACAAATTAAAGCATTGAAGCTATCACCATTCTGTAATTGTCACTCTCATCATCTTCAAAATCACTATCTTCATCCTCAAAATAATATGAGTCAATATTTTGACTAAAAAACTGTGCCAGGAATAAACACGACAAAAGTATATAAAATCTCTCTCACACACACAAAGACATAATATTTAACGATTTTCGGTCAATGTGACCTATGTCTACACGACAGGAATGAGTATTCTCATTCATGAGCTCGAACAAAGTAACAATACAATCAAGACAGACAAAAGACTCTCTGAAGACCACACAAACGATCATCTATAAATCCTAGGTAGCAACCCTTATTTATAGACGAAGTATCATACATAAAACATTGATGGGCCGATCCCATCCATTCGTAGGCCCAAATGGATATCAACCAATCACAGAACACCATGCAACAACTAAAAACACCTTTAACCTAGGTAAGCACCTTTACACCATGATCACCTTTGTACCAAGGCAACTCATTCTAGAGGTGTCAGCGCATTCACAAATCCAAGAGCGCATTCAACAAATTGCAACACATTCAAGAAGACCATGAGCGCGTTCATGAAGAACATGTGCATCCATATTCTTCATCAGTAGGGCACCCTCCAAGGTTGGAGTGCATTTTCTATGCCTTAAATGCATTTGACATCTCCTTAGGGTGGAACGCATTTTGGCATGCCACAAGCGAATTTGGGAAAAGCCGTAGCGTTTTTGGCTAAATTGTAACACCCAGTTCCCGGTACGTATTTTAAATTTAAATAATTGCATATTTTACACTGGGACTGGGCGAGTTGGAGGACCAACTCGTCGAGTAGACTAGACTTTGGACACGGATTTTAAGTAACCTACTCGACGAGTCCGGAGCCTGACTCGGCGAGTAGGTCTGTCCGAATGAAACCCTAATATTTAGGGTTTGCACCCTATTTAAACGCCTTATCTCGTCCCAATCCAGCCTCCATCACTTCTTTCAGTCCAGAAAAGCCCTAACTTGAAACCCTAAAGCATTTGGAGTGTTCTTGAGCCATTTTTTTTTGTGTATTTTTGGTTTTTTAAAGCTTGAAGAAGGAAGTGGAAGCTTGGGGGATCCAGAAGAAGTAAGTAGATCCAGAGGTTTTGCTTCATTTCCAGCTCATTCAAGGTAAAAAGCTTCAACCATGGCCATCTATCTCTTAGATCTCTAGTTAGGGCAAGTTTCTACCTTGTTTAAGCTTTAGTAGAGCCATATTCGGGGTTTTGTGGTCCTAAGGGGATATGAATTCAGATCTGGAACCATTGAGGGTTCCTATGGCATAAAGGTGCCAACTTTATTGCCATAAGAACCTCATGCATCTTGTAGACTCCATTTTTTGGATCTTTTGGGCTTGAAGACCCATGCATGAACGTAAAGTTTGTAACTTTACGTGTAATATGGACCCTAGGAGGTCAGATCTATGTTTTGGATGCATTCAGACCAACTGAAATCGACTAAATAGTTGTGGATATGGAGGGACTCGACGAGTCGCTCATACGACTCGGCGAGTCGCTCATACGACTCGGCGAGTCGGGTCACAGTTTTCCCCAAACCCCTTCTGATAATGGACAAGGTGTTGAGTTAGAAGAGCACTCATCCAGTTGGGCTCATAGTGGACATGGAGATCATAGAACTCGGCGAGTTCAAGAACAGAACTCGACGAGTTCAAGACAAGTCCCAACTGCATGAAGATGAACTCGACGAGTTCATAAGGAACTCGGCGAGTCCAGGACTAAAGGTGTCTTCTTGCATGAAGAAGGACTCGACGACTTCAAGGAAGAACTCGGCGAGTCATTTGAAGAAGGTCCCGACTTTGTATGAAGGAGAACTCGGCGAGAGCGTGCAAGACTCAGCGAGTAGGGTCGAGGTTTTAGTGTTTTGAGGATTCGAGGACTCAGCGAGTTGTAGGGTCAACTCAGCGAGTTGAGTCAACCAAGCGTTGACTTTGACCCAGAGTTGACTTTGACCAAGATGTTGATCTTGATTGTCGCTTTGACCTGAGTAACCCTTGAAAGGGTTAAGAGTATGAAATGGTAATTAAGGAAGGTTGTTATGTGTAGGAGTTTGAGGGGAGTCAGTTCCAGCGCCGGGGACGGTTCAGTTACTGCACGACATTGTGGTGAGTTACCTTCCAGTAGAAATGGGTCTAAGGCACCAAGGTCGGCCCACTAGTAAGAGTTATAGTATATATAATTGTCTTCGTGATACTTGTCTGGTATGTTGTTATCTGTTATGATTATGTGCTAGCATGATATGACGTTATGTGATAGTGGTGGTAAGGGGAATAGTCCCCGGCTACCGGTCGATAGGGCCCAAGAGGTAGTCTAGTACCCAACTATGCTTGATAGTATGTTTATGTTATATTATGTTATTATGTGGTAGTGGTAGGGGGTGAAATAGTCCCCGTAACCGGTTGAGATACACTGGAGGGTAGGTTGGGCACCCAGATATGCCTGACAGTGAGGTAGGTTGAGCACCCCAGTATGCTCAGCAGGGTAGGTCGGGCACCCAGATATGTCTGACAGGGTAGGCCGGGTACCCAGATATGCCCGACAGTATGTGATTTGTATGGTATGTGGTATGATGGGGGAACTCACTAAGCTTCGTGCTTACAGTTTTCAGTTTTGTTTCAGGTACCTCATCAACGAAGGGGAAGGAGCTGACACGTTAGCAGCGCATCGCACACTTATGATTTCCGCATTTTGAGATCCATGGGATTGTACTCTGACATTATTACTATTTTATGTTATGGTTCTTGAGACACGTGACTAAGGTTTTATGAAATGATATGAATCATTGATGTTTTTCAGTAAACTGATTTATGAGTTACTTAATTGAAAACAAAATTTTTGGTCTTGAAAATTGGGATGTTACAAGTTGGTATCAGAGCTTTGGTTTGAGAGATTCGGACACACCTTCGGGGGTGTCTGGACTCAAATCGAGGGTTTGAAAGATTTTTCACAAGAAAATGATTTTTCCAAAAGTTAAAGTAAAAGGTTTTAAGAAAGAACAAGGTGTGTGATGTGCGAGACCGGCCGAGCTCAAGTTAGTTTACCCCATGATACCCATACATTTATGTTATGTTATTATATGATTATGAGAATTGCATGCTAGAGTAGGGCTAAGGATCTAGGAATGATTCCTTACATGCCTGTCGTATTTGTATGAGAACTGCATGCTAGTTTAGGGCTAAGGATCTAGGGGATGCCTTATGTGCCTGTTATATGTGCTTATTGAGTTACATGCTAGAACTTATTAGTCAACAGTATGATGGCCTGAATAGGATATGCTTGGTATGGGTACTCAATGCACGAATGTTGTTTGCTTCGTGCTTTTAGAAGTTGTAGCTATCTTTAGCTAACTAGTAAACGGGTACGTTAGGTTACATATTGCAAGGATTAAATAATTTCAGAAGGTTAGGTCTAGCCCTATTGCGCAGCTCTGGTTTGAATCCAACCGTTGTAGGGTAGGACCTCTCATTTGAAAAATTATCTGGTCTTGACGATATGTAATGGTACTCACAAGCTAGTTAGGTGAAGGTGGCAGGAATTCCTTGTGCAGCTGATGGCGGAGAGTAGGTAGGAGTGTTACCCTAGGGTGAGCGTGGGATGAGATTAGTGTGGAGAGCAGTAGTAGTAGAAGGGACTTGGTAAAGTCAAGGAAATCCTTAAGGAAAGTACGGATAGATGTGGAAGGTAGTATGGGCCCGTACTACTGGAAGCAGAGGATCCGTACTCAAGTTAAGGAGGGCTGAGAAAGAACCAAGGAACTTGTAGTATGAGAAACCTCTCGAGGTTATGTATGACCCTGATGATTATGTGTTTTTTTTGAAAATGGTGATGATTACGCGCCACGGAGCAGGAGGATCAGGATCAGGAACAAGTTCAGGTTCGGGATCCGAACCAGTTGATGAGAGACTGCGCGAGTTCAGCGCGTCAGAGATCACGAGAGGCATTCTTGGGGCAACCTCGGTGATTTTTGGGTCGATCGAGGAGGGGATTGTCGAGCTGATGGAGGATCGCCTCAGGGCGTTTACGTGCGATATGGCGTCTGGCCAGACGGGGACTCGCACACTATCCTTCAAGGACTTCAGGGGATGTGGTGCTCTAGACTTCCATGGGGTGAAGGACCCCATTGTTGCCAGGAGATGGATTGCAGACATGGAGTCTGCTCAGTTGACTAGCTTCTGCCCTGAGGGGTCGAAGGTTCGATATGTTGCTGGATGTTTAAGGGATAGGGCTAGAGATTGGTGGGAGTCCGTGGGTGATTCTTTGGGAGCCTCGCCATTGAGGCTATGACCTGGTCTGAATTTGTGACCAGGTTTAGGGCTGAGTTTGCGCCGACTGAGGAGCTTCAACAGCTGGCCAGGGAGTTT